AGTAGTATATCACTAGCCCATACATAATAGATGTGGTTCATTATCAACTGTATGGAATCGCTGGTAGCTGGTCGAGTAACATGTACTCACTATTTGGAAGTACTGTTTTTCGAGTCTGAATTATTCAAGTTGTTTCAATTAGACACTAGTTACTAACCAGTGTAATGTGTGCGTGTATGTGTCTAGTCCTATCTTTGGTGCAGACTGAATTATATCAGTCAAGTTTGCAATGTGGCCACTATGCCACTAGGTGGCTCGCCATCACGGTGCACTGTGAATTGCTGGCAGTAGTTGGTTGGAGGCAATCGGCCACAGGAAGCCCCATCTGTCTTAGGTTTCGTGCTATTTGGCACTCATCAGTAAGGCTTATCTGCAACCTCGAAAGGACTCATCTCCCTTCTGAAATTCGAACCCGCGTCACCCACCCAGTGTTGCAGTCAGAGACGTATCATATCTTCAAAAGTATTCAATACAGTCCGACAGGAGGTCAGTCGCGAGCCCAACTAGCCAAGTGGCAAAGTCTCTGGCTGAAGCACTGGGTGGTGCGGGTTCGAATCTCAGAAGGAACATGAGTTCCTCAAAGTTGCAGACACGCCTTACTGACGAGTGCCAACTAGCACGAAACCTAGGTTACACGGGGTTTCCTGACGATCGTCTCCAACCATCTAATATCAACTATTCAAAATGTAAAATCAAAATTCACGGGGGTAAAGTAGGCTAACACAAGTAAATTTAAATGATTAGAGACGCATTTCCCACGGAAAAAATGTTCGGCCTTCCAAGAAGATTTTAATTGATGAATCCCACTGTCTTTGCTTTCAAATATGACATTAAGTGAACAGTTGCTTAAGGGAAAAGATTACAGTGTGAACGATTTACTTAGCTTATATAATACTAATGAATGATACCATTCATTAGTGGCACTATTCTCGCCAAACATCGACGTGGTCCAAGCTCAATTCCCAACAGACACACTCTAAAACCTCTCCTAGTTGGTATTAAGCCCAGCAAAAGGGAAGGTTGGGCTTGACTAAACTGTTACAGAAACTTTAAAGCTCAAGCTATGAAGCCTAATATTACATTTGGAACACAAAGAATTAATTACTGATTCTAAATGGCAGTTTCATAAATGATTCACTGGCTTAAACGCTAGCCTTCCAGCCAACGGATCACAAGTTCAGCAGATTATCCATCTTCACACAATAAGTACAGCCGATAGCTTGATACATGGGGAACGTGTTCGAGGCAACCAAATTCTAACAACTCAGAGAATCAGAGAAGAACTTTATCATGAAAATGAATACTCCTTTAATAACAAACAGCTTTTTACTGTCTAATGTTTAAAAAAATTTAAGGTTTTATGTAGCGAAGAATTTGGGGATTATATATGTTAAAGTTAATAAAGCTGATAACAATAAAGAGTACTGAAAGAATAAAATGGACTAACATAAGAGTTCACCTATATGAAGTGATAACTAACTGTAGACATATGCCATTGGTTCAATGGTGGGAGGCTTCCTACCTACGTGGAAGTTCCAAGGTCAACTAACTCCCAGGTGACAAACTTCTAAATCTCGTTTAGTTTACAGTTGTCTGGTAGTAAGCTCGATAAAGAGAGGAAGATTGGATGGGTGTGAGGTTAGCAACTCCACCCCATGAAAACAACACCACTACTACTGAAACTTCAAGGCCTAAAGCAGCTCTACGTACGTTCCACTCGGAAAGAGAGGGGTGAAAAACTCAACAACAACAAAAAACAATCTGTAAACATGATTGAATACCTACCTAATAATTGTTCTCTTAAATCACGATTTATCCGTTGACGTTCTTTCGCAATCAAATCGCATGTATCAGAATATGCGCATTGAATGACTGATGTGTTCTCCACTATTTCAGTAAATGTATTATCTGTCTCCTGTGATGAAATATCTTTGGACACCGCACTGTCATTCTCTTCCGCTGGAGTGATTGCCTTCAGTGCAGAAGTAGTTTTATCATGAGATAGATAATGAGTAGATACTGAATCTGAAGTTTGTACAGTATCACAGTTTTCTTTTAACTTTTTTACCTGAAAGTAGAAAATAATTAAACACATAGCAAACACACATATAAACTCATTCACTGGTAGTAATGGGAATAAAATTCACATTTGAATGAGAAAATGAACAAGGAGAATTTAACCATGTTAGACTGTGAAATAAGATGAACAACGAAAGAAGGTAAACTGCACTGCACACTAGCGTTTATAAAAAGCCAACGCATTATGCTAACAGATATTTAGACTGTAATTCATCTCATCCGTTATCTATCTGTCAGTAAAGGCAGGCAATACCACTAAGTAGTGCTACAACTAAAAACCTAAACGATGAAATGAAACAGACAGGAGAGGCGTTGGTGTTAAATAACTATCCCATGAAATAAATTCATTAGGAAGATGAGAAAAGGTGAGAAGCAAAATAAAAATAATGGAGAAACCAATAATGACAAGATAAATAAGAAAGAATATAAGGCATCTACTGTTATACCATATAAAGAGGGGACATCTGAGACCCTACGAAGGATTCTCAATAAAATAGGAATTAGGGTGGTATTCAAACCTACAAACTCACTCAGGCAGGGACAAGCTCTGTAGACTTAAGGACACGGTGGATCCAATTAAACAAAATAATATAATTTACAAAATACAATGACTGTGAGGTCAACTACATCGGTCAAACTAGCAGACCAGTAGTAGTGAGATTGTCAGAATATATGAAATTAGCCAAGGTTATAGTCATTGATCTCACGAAGATAAGTAATTTAGAACAAAACTCAGCGATCGCACTGCATACATTAACACACAACCACAGAATAGGTTGGGTGGGACAGAGTCATATAGGTAGTTGGAGACAGAGAGAGATTAATTACTGAATCCTGCCTAGTTCATCGAGTCTATACCCAACACAACACATGCAAAAGAAGTGACTCAATGCAAGTACCAGAGATATGGAAGATATTATGACCATCAGTCAAATCAGAGGTTAATAAATAATGTTAAAATTTATTTCAGTTCACGTTATAACACTCTAAAAAGTTATTTAATTTACCATAAAAACATCTTTTCCATCTTATTGACTAATAACACTCGTCTTATTTCCCATCCTATTGTGTTTTATTGATAACACTAATATTATTTCCATGTGTATTTTATCTTCCATAGTAGATTGACTAACAGCACTCGTCTTAATCCTCATCATATTATATTGATTGATAACATTAATATTGGTTCCCAATGTACTTTATTTTTCATTCTGTTTCACGTAAGTCTTATATGGCTGGAGACAATTGGTGGTGATAGCTAGACTGAAGCATGGCTTCACCAGTCAATGAAATCCACAACACTTAGTTTAAACCGCCCACATAGGGAGGTGTAGACTCCCTGACTGGTTAGGGTCCTCGGGATGGTAAAGACCAATGAAAGCTGGAGACAATTGGTGATATGGCTCAAAATTGTTCTCAGTGGCTGGCGCAGATGCATCCACTTCTTGTGACATTATTATTATTATTGTTCCCTTGGGTTCCTAGTGGAACATAGGGCTTCAACTGCACGCCTCCACTTGCTTCTGTCTTCTGCTGCACTTTTCACTTGCATCCATGTTAGTCCATGCTGTTTCAACTCCTCTTCACACGATCTCCTCCATGTTTGTGACTTATAATATCCAATAAAACTCTATTGTTCTTCCACATTACTATTCTCTTTACCTCATATCTGTGTTTATTATCTGTTTTGCATTTCTTTTTACTTTCTTCTTCTCTGGCATTGTGTGCTGAGTGAAGTGCGGCGACTCGAACTGATGCACATTAGTGCAAAGTTCTATGTTGAAATCAGTCAGTTAGTCATTGATTTTATTCAAATGTCTAATCAATTTTACTCATGTATATTAACGAAGCAAGAGAGTTGTATGAGTACCTTGATATGATTTATGAGCAATAATTTGTGCTTGAAACGTGGTCATCAGTAAATATTACTGTACAACACCCTGTGATTTTACCAAAATAAAACTTTATCCATAATGGAATTATGCTGTACCACAGTGTTCAAGTTTTATCCCTATATCAATAACACATAGTGAAAGAGTTTCAAAAAAGTTATAACAAAAACACTATAGCAGCTTATATACTACTACATGTTGTGCATATACACCGTGTAGCCGGAAACAAACACTGAACAATAAATACTGAGCAACTGTCTCACTCTTTTTAGACAGTACTACTCAGCGTTATTCTCTGATTTATTCAGCTCAAAGTGATCAGTTATCCAACTCATTCAGATTGTGGGTATCTAGTTGAATAAACCGAGGATAACCAAAAAATCACACTGTTACTTTACTACAGATTGCGTTTTATGTAAATATATTTGACTTGCAGTACCATTATTATCTGTAAGGTTGTAGTTCTAATTACAACTACTAGATACCTATTTGGACTTTTTCTAGTATCGGATCAAATCAGCAGTTTAAACAGTTCCAAGTGATATAATTAACCATAGTTTCTCCTTAGGAAACAGAAATCATTCAGATCACAATATACGATCTGTTTGCTATCATACATAGCAATCAAGAAACCAAAATATATTTACATGGCGCTATATACTACTGATCAATTAGGATAAGTAGTTGTTAGCCACAGTGAGGTACTGTACAAACACCGGGTGGCCGTTTCGTTCATTTAGGGCGAATTTTATCCGCGGTATATCCAATTTAACTCAGCTCAGAGAGCCGAGTTAGTCTGGAGCAATCGAATTCTAGTTAGCTAGTTGGTTGAACTAGTAATACATCACATCAGTAGACTTCTTCTAAGGTTAACCCTACAACAACATGCATGATAAATGAATCAGAGAAGAATGAGAAAGAAAGAAAACAAACAAACTCTTACGTTTTCTTTGAACAAATAAATGGAAGTAGATAACGAAATGAATAATCCCACTAGAGGATATATTTTTATGAAATCAAAGTGAAAAGAAAAACAGAAAGCAAACACATGAAGAAGACTACAGTTAATACAAAAATGTCTCCTATATTCCTCCGACTCGAACTTGAAAGTGAGTACATTGCAGACATAAATGGTCTGAGGTTGGATCCCCGGTAGACGTACTCCTAAGCCTCTTTACGCCGGCAATAAGATCGGTAAAGAGGGTAAGTTGAACATGAGGCTAGCACCCGAAAAACACTCGAAACTTCAGAGGTCTAGTTTGGAGCCCTATACCCCACTCGGAACGTAAAGGAAATTACTGGCCACGAATATTTCAGAAGCAAAATTGACTCTTAGATACCGTAAGATGAGTTTACTAGTTTAACTGGACTCCTACAAACGCCTTTGCTATATTATCGCCAGCTGTGGATATCAATTTACGTGTAGCTGTTGAAGAAGACACAAGAAGAGAAGGAAAGGCTTATCTTAGAATTTCTGAACACAGTCTAAGACGCCTATGATTAAGGGGGGAGTGTAACTCTTAACAGCACAGTGATTCAGCATTCGACTGACGCAGGATATCCGATATACACCTTAGATTATTTTTAAAGATAATAAATAAACAAACAAGTTCACGTAGCCTCTTGAAATTCTCCAAATCTATCACTTTCAAACGCCTCAAAGGTAACTTATGTGTTTAAGACTAGGCTACACTAGATCTCTTTCTCTTTCTAACTTGGTAACTTTTTCCTTGACTTTTAATCATAACTAATCAAACCACCTCTCGTTAAAAACAAATGTTACCTTCTATTTTCATTGTATTGCGTCACCGTTTCTTAAACCCTGTTTTCAGATAGTCTGAATTCAGCTAGGTAACTTCAATTCATAATATTTAATAACTTTTTACGCCAACTTAGCTAATCTTATATTTTCTGCATCAATTCCTTATTGATTTCCATGTTTGATTTCTCCGAGAAACTTTATTACACTAAGTATATGACTGCAGTATTTTATCATACTTTACTTCACTCCTACTTGTAGACTAACTATGTTTGAAATGATGGAGAAAATGTGTAGCTTAGTTGGATGATTTGGATGCAGTTGCGTTCTCTGAGCTGGATAGTTGAACTGTGAAGCTTCCATTGTCTTTCTACACAACATTTTCAGTGGTGACTTCAATATGTTCATGATTAATTCCCATTCGGACATTAGTAGACAAAAGACAAGTAGTTCACCAAAGAGTCTCTTTTCGGCGAATTCATTTTCAAAGCTGTACAATCGCAAATATATATGGTTATTTTGTGTGTGTATGTGTGTATACGTTAAATTTGTCAAACAAAATACGGTTAGTAAGTTCAAATGAATTGGATGTTGATAAGAGGATAGCAACAAAAGTGATGAGTTGTCAAAACGATTGTTAAAGAGGAGTAAGTTCAGGTGAATTGAATGTTCATATAAGAGGGTAGTCACAAAAGTGATGGGTTGTCATAAATGATTGTTAAATAAAAGTTACGTAATGGCATGAAAAGTTTGATGAATGAGTTGTACTCAAAGGGTGAGCATGGAAACAAAATAATATACAGAATTACACAAGGGTTTTAAGTTAGAAAAATAAGCATACAAACAGAAGTAAGGTCAAATCAAACAAACAAAGAAGAGTTGGGTCAAATCAACGGAGTTGTTACCATGCGAGTAGAAGTGGTTGGATAATTTTTTTTGTATACATAGTTCTGGTTCCACCAACTGGATGGCTAGGGCTTCTGCGATGCAAAGAAGACGAAATCGTACTGTCTTTGGGAGGTTGTTCTTCACTTTGTCGATCACTTTGAAGGAGGCGTTCGTTGAGATGGAATGACCAGTGTTGACTAGATGTTCGATTATTGCACTCCTTATATGGCCATTATTTCCTTTCTGTAGCCACGCTGGGTAGTGTTCTTTGACCCTTTTTGACAGGATGCGCATTGAACGACCGATGTAACTGACTCCACAGCAACAGGTGAACTGATATATACACATAGAAGTGGTCAATGTGCGGAATCTTGTCCTTTGGGTTTCTGCAGATCAGCGGGCGACTGGAGAACACTGTTCTTAGTGTTGCCGCAGGGAAAGTTCTTCCTAAAGAGGTGGAAATTCTCCTTCTGAGGACGTCGCTAAGTAGGTCTCCTTTGAAGTCTAGGTTCATATAAAGTATCTTTTTTGGCACGGATTGTGTCTCTTGCTTTTGGTTTTTCTGTTTGATGTTTTCGTCTACAAATCTTGGTGGGTAGCCATTTTGTATGAAGATTTCCCTCAGGAAGTTTAATTCTTATTCCATGGTGTCGGAGCTGCAGATGCGTCTGACGCGAGTGGCAAGGGATTTAATTAGGTTTCTTTTCCGACTGATTGGTACCCAGCTGTAGAAGCTTGTTAATTGTCTGTTCCAAGTCGGTTTCCTATGGATTCACCTTCTTAAAGTTCCGTCATCTCTCCTTGTAAGCTCAACGTCAAGAAAAGGGATTTTAGATTCGTTTTCAGTTTCCAAAGTGAACTTTGTGGCTGGATGGCATTTGTTGAATATTTGTAGTAGTTGATTGAGATTGTGATCGTCACCACAGATGATAAAGATGTCGTCAACATATCTAACGTACAACTGGAGATTGTCGATGGTTGATTTGAGTGCGCCGTTCTCGAGGCTTGCCATGAAGCAGTCTGCTAGTAATGGGCCCAGTGGAGATCCCATTGCGATCCCATCTTGTTGTCTGTAAATAATGTCGTTGAATGTGAATTGCACATTGAGTGTACATCTCAGTAGTAGTTCTTTTAAACAGGTCGTCGGTAATCCGATGTTCAGCTGATTTTCGTCGATATAGTGACAAATATAAGAGACAGTTTCTGTGAGTGGAACATTGGTAAATAGTGATTCAACGTCGAGGGAGAGCATAGTTTTGTTCTTTGTATTGATATCTTTAATGTAATCGACGAATTGGAAAGTGTCACGAAGTGAATAGTGGCACATTCGTTTTCGTACAGGTTCTAAAATGTCAGTGAGCCATTTCGCTATTGAATGGTACGGGGAACTTGACATATCCATAATTGGACGAAGTGGGGGGTTGGCTTTATGTATCTTCGGTAAGCCATATAGTCTTGGTATTGTTGACCCTGTCGGTCGGATTTGATCATACACTTCATGAGTGATTAACTTTTGGGTTTGCATTCTTTTCAGGACATCGGTGAGTTGCTTTTCAATCTGTTCTGTTTTGTTTCTTTCGTTGGGTGGCTGCGAAAATTTTGTTTTATCTGACAAGATGTTATTCATTTTCTCAATATAGTCTTTCTTGTCCATAAGGACTATACCAGTTCCTTTGTCCGGACGAGTTATAAGGAGTTCTTCATTTTGTTTTAGTTGATTTAATTCTTCTCTATGTTGCTTTGTCAGGTGGTTGTATACTTTTGGCTTTGTATTAAGATACTGATAACAGCTATCGATTATTGTTGATTTGAAACTCTGCAATTCTTGTTCGGAGGTTGGGGTTAGATCATTTGTTTGGGTCATTAGGTTTTCGAATTGTACTTGCGTATGGAGTCTGTTGGCGTTTAAGTTGACGTCGCAGAATTTTGGGCCCACACACACACACACACACAAAATAACCGTATATATTTGCGATTGTACAGCTTTGAAAATGAATTCGCCGAAAAGAGACTCTTTGCTGAACTACTTCAATATGTAGTGAACTTATGTGAATTCTTTATGAATGATAAAATTATCTCTCATAACAAGCCTGATTGCGATTGGTTGTTAATATGCATTAATATTGATGCATCCAGCTTCGAGAACATAACCACATGACAAATATGCTTTTTTCTTAAAGATACTCTACGACATTTTGTTCTTTCAATAAACTAAAACAAATTAAATTTACAATGATACTATATCCTTATTGCGACGAAATGAAGTGAATTCGCTGTATCCTACGCCAATTATTATTATGGCACCTTTTTACTATATCTGTGGATAATTTTTAAGATAATGTGAGTATGCTACTGACTTAGTATTATACAGTAGTTTTATTTAGAGGTGAAGTACCATCGTGAGAAAAATTAAGGACAGATGTATCATTTATTTTTACTACACGAAACAGTAAATTATACTACAAAATATAAGGTTGTCAGTAGCTTGCTATTACACACGAGTCAGGATAGAACCAGAGACCTTTAGGTTACGAGGTCAAGCTACTATCCAGTGTTCCCTGCCCCTCCATGATCTCTAACTAGGGTATTAGTTCGTGACGAAATCTACACATTGAAATTAATTCAAATCCCTACAAAATCTCATATTCTAAATATCAATATTCAGCCCATTGATGGCTTCTGGATGGATGGATGTCCTGAAGCTACAGCAAGAAGTCATGACTAATGTAGGGGTTCACCAATGTTAAGGTGAACTGGATGCTCATCGAAGGCATTCGTTGAGGGTAGTGCTGTATTAAGAGTTGACAGGAGTTGGAGTTCACCAGGTCGTCGAATTCCGACTCAAGTGGCTGAATGATCAACAAAATTGGCCTCGTACCACGAAGGTTCCGATTTCGATCCCTGGTGGGGTCGGGGGTGTGCACTGATGACGACTCCTAAACCAGGAAAAAACATCTGTCTCATGTTCCTTGGTTTTCAATGCTTTCTAACTGGCGTTGGTTTGTGACGAAATCTACGTTGAACTTAATCGAAATCCCTGCAAAAATTTATAATATGAATATAATTTGGGATATGATATGACTGAAATCACTACGTAGACTAATTGAGAACAGATTTGCTCCAAACAATTAAGCGTACATCAGGCATTGCTAGAAACAACACAATCGCAAATATGATACTTTATTAGTTGCATGTAACGAGTAAAATTTGCACAAATATATATTTTTTAAAAGTCCAATTTTTTAAGCTTTTATTGTACTACTACATAAAACTAGTTGGTATAGGAAATTATCATAACCGTTAATTCATATATTGCTTAGATGTGTTTGGTATTTCTCTCCAGAAGAAGCTACCTGTAAATGACTTCACTAACTTTTAAAATAAGAATGTCAGTGTTTACCAACATGTATGGATTACACGAAATTTCAATTACTTCAGTTAGACTGAGTGAAACAGGAAGAAGTATGACTGAATCCTTACTTTTGCTTTGAGCGATTCTCCTTCAGGTGAACATAGGATTCGAACTACGACTCTGTAAGTAAGTCCATCATCTAATAGCAATAAAATCTGACCAAACTGTATTCTGCTTTAACTAATAATTTCATACAATCTTATCGTAGAACACTGCTTCACGTACATCTCATCAAACATAATCTTTCACCATACACAATTTTCAAATGTCAAAAAATTCTAGAAATTAAAGACGGAAAACAAAAACGGTAGAGTTTTAGCTCTCACTGTCTATAACATAGAACCTACCCAAAAACAGAAGTCGACCACAATGGCAGAAAAAGTGGAGTTAAGAGTAATATTACAGCTCAATATGAAACTGAAAGTAGGCACACTAGAAGATTTTTTTATTTTTATTTTTTTAAATTTTATTATAGCTTGACTCCATATAGTATTTTTGATACAAGTATGAAATTTTCAGCATGTGATATCGGTAGCCCAAATATTGCAGGCCGACCATTGATATCGGGTGTGTGTCGGCCAGGGATCGAACCCCAGACCATGTGCATGATCGGCGAGCGTCCTAACCGCTGTGCCACCGACGCAAATGAGAAAAATGAGTCAAACTTCAGTAAGTGGGTGGATGGTTTAAATCTATAATCTGCTGGCTGAATATAGACGGCTAAGCAAACATTAGCAACACACAAGACACACTAAAAGACTTAGCTTTCGTCCTTATCTCATGAAATTCCTGGGTTGAAACTGTGTGACAACCATAAACTTAGACTAAAACAAATTAGTAAAAGTGGTTGAATGCCTAATAATACAGATCCCGAAGAATAATGACACGATACGTGGAAAGTGAATATTAAACTTACTCTTATTTCATAATTACGTATACATTCTGGAGAAGGACGATAATTTGAGGAGATCAATTTGTTAAAGAACGTTTCCAAAGTTTTCACGTAGGCATTGTAAGTGGTTCCCAACTTCTTTTGTACTGCAAGACATTCGGTGCAGTATAAAAGACGCATGAAATTCATTTCTAACGCGGAACGACTCATGTTTGGTAAGGAAAAATTGGTTATCTAAAATAATTAAAAATTAAAATGTATTTACCCACTAAAATTATTGATCTAATACAACAAGAGTAACAAGAAATGCACTTAACAAAATAATGAGTATATGGCGGGGAAGAGAAAACGTGTGATAGCTCACAAATAACAGAACGAAATGCATTCTCACAAGGCGTATTCAGTGAAAAATATTTCTACGCTGTATACCTTTTCGATTGGAAGATAAAAGGAAGTCACCACATGGTCGTCACTGCTCTACATTTTGAGCCATTAAATTGTACGATTCCTCAGGCCTCACCTAGTGTATTGGGATCCATTAACAAACGCTTACTCAGCACAACTATCTTTCATTCTAAAGAGCCATGACATGGACTAACCAATCCGGTGTATAGGTCTTACACACGGAACTACATTTACAGCAGGCGTAGAAGATGTAATACTTCATAAAATGGGACAAAATGACTACCTCAATTTTTTTTCATTTCACACTAATATCTAGAACCCAGGGATTTACAGCTATAGATAAACGGCGATTGTTTGGTTTAAGAAAAGAAATCAAACATCTACATACATTGTTTTTTTTCAATTTTTCTATCCCCCAAAAATATAGTCAAAATGCGTCCTAACGGAAACGAGACTAATTACTGACCACTAAGTTGTTTCGGAGACATAAAACTCAATCTGTAGTAAAAACAACTAAGTTTTAGTAGTAGTACTGCTCTTACGTGGTGGGTTTGCCAGCCTCTTCCAACCCTCCCTTTTTCATAGCTTACACTCAGCCAGCAAAGTAAGCCAGATTTAGTTGTGCGTCAACCAAGAATCCGACCAGAACCTTTTGTCTGACTAACATGCACTCTATCATTGGGCCAATGACGTTTTTATTTAGTTCGATTAAATTTTTTTAACAGTTGAATGGTCGTACTAAATAATAAAGAAACGATTTAAAAACGTATACGTTAAGTATGAACAGTTAGTACTACAATTTATTCGCCCAAATGACTTCCAAATTACTCCTTCATGATTATAATTTGGTTATATATAACATTATATATAAATAACTACACTGGTATTTAATTTAAGTCCATAAACTTTGATCTACCGTCAAATTCCCTTAAGTTCAGATGTTCGATTTTATCTCTGAATCCATAAAAGTCTTTTTTCCAGTGCAAACATGAGCTTATTGAACCAACTAGAGTGCCAAAAATAGCACGGGATGTTATTAGGGCAAAACGACAGATTCAGTGTTTAGAACTGTATGAAGAGGTTGTACAACAATGGTTCACTATTTCAAACATTCTACTGTATTCGGCTTCCTTGCTTCATTTTTGAACGCATGTAAAGCTGGAAAGCTAAATGAACCAATCGTCACCTCACCTAGATACAAACATGTTGCTTTTCACCGCTTAAATTTCATCAACTTTGCCTGGAAAATGATGACAGAATGTACACAGATACAGTGCGGAAATTTTTAGTCCAGTTACTTGCAGGCTCACATACTGATGTGTAATTCCCTACTAATATGACTTTTTGAATGAAATTAATGACACTTTCTCTTGATGTACAGCTGCTCATAATCATACGATACTGATATTTTCCTTGTCCTATTACATTATTTTCTAGATAACTAGCGACAAAAACATACCAGAAGTCATTTTGGCAATTGAAAGTGAAATGATAATTTGCGGAGGAATGCGAAAAATAAACTGCTACTAATGACACATCTGCATATCTCCCCTGATTTTCCATAGTGATTTTTGAAATGTCTTTACTAGTGAAAATACATTCCATATTTAAGTCATCTGCGCAAGGGATTACGACAATCTGAAAACCAGGAGATGTATAAGAAACAAGCAAAAGCGTAGGACCGATTAGTTTACAATAACCACTATCTTTGATATGGATTCCACCACCAACATGTGGATATATAGGAGGGGCATTATACACAGTCAAGCAGTAAAATCTTTCTGGGAAGATTTGCTTCAAACATTTTCTCTGACTAACACTGCCCCGAAAAAATGTACACTTGGAACCCACTTATACACATTTATTACATCTCTCTGTGACGAACTGGATGTAAACTGAGAATAAAAGTGCTAGAAGGAAACGTTTAGGCGAAAATAACTCCTCACTGAAACTAAAAATGACGTGTCCATAAAGACACATCATTTATCACCATTTCAAGGTCATTGTATTTACATTACGCAGTACTCAACATTATTAGAAATCAAAATTATTCTACTCACTCTAATTAATTAAGCGTAAATGTCTCCAGAAAACGCAGTCTCCTGAATTATCATCTTTCACACCTCAGTAACGTAAAATTGAATTTGAGCGCTTCCCTGCATATCCAATATCCAATATCGTTTTTACGAGCTAGTTTAAACCAATTTGATTTCTTTGTGATTGTGAGGTAGAGGTTCCTGATCTTCGATAAACGTCTGCGTAGCTCGCCCCGCAACTCGACTGTAGTGGCTTTGGTTGACTCCAAAAGGAGTAGTGCAGAGATTAATTATATGTGGTTTGTAGTATGAGGTGTGTCAAGACTGTTACTACTGTGAATGGAGTTGATCCTTTCACCAGTTGGTCCTTCGGTATCGTCGTCAATAGAAAAGAGATAATAATAATAGATATAATTGGTGAAGGTATTCAGACTAACAGACAGAAAAAGAATAAGAAAACGTAACAACAGTCAGTCAACCGGTATATGTATATATATGTATATATATATATATATATACCGGTAATAATGATAATAGTGATAGGTGTAGTTAAAGCTGTCAGGAGAGTAAGACAGGAGAGAATGTAAAGAAGTAAAACGAAAAGTTTAATTGTCTACCCCTGAATGGTATGCGATTTTAAGGGGATAGGCCATTTGGGTGCAGTCCTTGTGTCGCTGCATGGTTGTCCAGCCTTCGCTTAAAGGCGTCCACAGACAGTGTCGTAGCTACATCTGCCGGTAAGGAATTCCTGGGACGGCAAACCCGCAGTGAAAAGAAATGAGGACGCACCCGGGTGCTTGCCCTCTGGTGAGCTATGCTTCTGGAGTTTCCACGAGGAAGCCCATACCTACTCAATTGCAGAACACCTTTGTTTGGGTCGTTCTGGTCATTTGTTATCTTGGAAGCAGTAAACAATTCTGGCCTAAGCCGACAGTAGCTAAGTGTGAATAGGCCTCATTTCTTCAGCCTTTCATCATATGGCTTATTTCGGAGAACAACCGCTCCTTTTTTCGCCAGTCCTTGGACTCTTTCTAAGAGGTTTGCGTCTCTTCTAAGCAGTGGGGGTGCAATGATATCACGCACTTCAAAATGTGGTCTGACAAATGTTTTGTAGAACCTTAGAAGGAGTTCAGGAGTGAGTGCACCTATCTGTCTATGTGTAAAGTGTATGGCCGCAGATGACACCACTACATCGCCTATGTAATTCACGCTTATGAACTTTTTTCCTTTAGAACTAGACCTAAGTCACTCTCTGACGTTGTGTAGGACAGGCTTTTGTTGCACAGGGTGTAACTTGGATTCTGCAGCCTACAGGTGCGTAATTTCACTACTTTGCACTTTTTCAGGTTGAAAGTCATGCCACTGGCCACCACCCAGTCTTCCAGGAGCTTTAGAGCTGCTTACAGCCTATCTGAGCCCTCCAGACACCTATACGCCCTCTATATCTTTACGTCGTCAGCCTATCGAAGAGTCGGGCAGCTAAGACGGCATGGTAGATCATTGATAAAAACCAAAACATCAGTGGTCCTAGGATAGAACCCTGTGACACTCCTGATGACGAGCTGTGCCAAGATGATCGGACTCGATTGACCTTAGTGCAAAATTTCTTTTCATCTAGGTATTCCCCCAACCATGACAGAAGTGGCCCGCCTGTACCTGCCTGACTTATTTTGTGTAGGATAATGTCATGGTGAACAGTGTCAAATGCTTTCTAAAAGTCTAGGAAGACCAGATGGACTGGAACATTCATATCTCAGCATGATGTTCAATCGTCCCAAGTTGATAGTAGGTTTGTTACACAGGATCTGCCTTTCCTGAAACCATGTTGGGCTTCATGGAGTCTATCAGGGCTATCTAAATTCTTTCTGATGTTATCATCATCAGTACTTTTGATACCACTGGGAATAGAGCTCCTCGTTTATAACTCGTGGCATTTCGCCTGTTCCCACCCTTGAAGATCAGGGAAAGAGTGGCTCTTTTCCACTCTCTTGGCAGTTTCCCCGATTCCATGGAATGTTGGAACAAGTTGCATACGGGCCTACGGAGAGCTCTGACACACTGTTTTAGAACAGGTGGCCTGATGTCGCCACAACCTCGGGACTTTTCTGATGTGAGTCTCTGGAGTTTCTGTAGTACTATTGCCAGGATTATTTTGGGAGTAGCCACTTGGTTTTCTTTCGGTAAAATAGTAGTGCCGCCATTTTGGTCCATACCAGCAATACCCTCATTGCTGTCTAACCGTTCGGCGAAGGCTAAACTGAATGTTTCAGCCACTTCCAGACTAGTGAGGTATTGACTATTTGGACCTAATAAGGTGCATGCCCCTTGGTTGGTTTTCTTTCCGACACGAAGCAGTACAAGCTTTTGGGGAGTTAGTCGAAGTTTACCTTGAATGATTATCTGTCACTCCTGACTCTCACGTCGCATCGGTTCCTAAATTCCAGGTATGCGTAGTGGTTGGTGCGACTCTTGGATACTCGCCACGTAAACCAGGCCCTCCGCTTTGCTTGTAGTAAACACTGCGTACCTCTCTTCAGCCATGATAACCTTTCTTGGCTGTTTTGGGACTAAAGGGACGGTACCTGAGATTCCTGTGTGAATAATCTCTCTCACCACTTCCCAGTGTTCATCCACAGCTAACTCATCCCACAATAAGGGCCATTCTGCGTCGGACTAAAGCCTCCACATTTCAGCACAGTCCGCCTTGTTATAGCACAGAAGTGGTCGCGTAGCGTCCCACTGCAAGTGCTCACGGAGAACAAGATCGAATCCTATGACTGCATGGTCACTACTTCCTAGTAGAGTCTTGAGCTGCACCCTTTCGACGAGTAGTTGGTCACTAGTTAGAATGTAGTCTCGTTTCGATGACTTTCCACTAGGGCCCCACCTATTGTTGTCTGCAACACTCAGCCAGCCCTGTATTTCGAATGATTTGCAGTAGATTTTGACCAAATTTTTCATGAGCACACCCCGAGCTGAGGTTCAGTGATGGGGCATTGAAATTTCCAGCTATGCTGATTTGGTCATAGCCCAAGTCCCGTATCCATGTGAAGGTGCTGAGCAGTAGATAGTTGTGCTGTGCCCCACATGTGGGTGATTGGTAGATGCCACCCAGTAGGTGCTTGGTGCTGCCTACGGTGAAATGGCACCATATGGGGTTCGGGAGTCCAATAAGTGGTGGGGCCATTGTACATATACATTTAAGTTGCTTGTCAAAGTATATGGCAACTCCTCCCTCCTTGTCATTCTTGTCTCTTCTGGCCAGAACCATATCACTTATACAACGTCTCTTGAAAATCTAATACCGTTTCTTACGAGCTAGCGTAAATCAGTTTGGTCTCCTTGTGTTCGCTTCTTGGTTGTAAAGTAAGGGTTCGTATCAACCTACTGATTTCTGTATGCTTATCTAGTGTCATCTTACGGTTCTAGATATTTGGTGGATTTCAGTATATCGCCTATGCCTACTAGCCTGATGCAGTTTTGCTAAATGGAATGGTCAGAGGGCTCATGATTTACTTTCAGCATGGCTGGTTCCTGAGTACCCTAGCTTCTGGGTTCAGCGTTGATTATCCAACTGAACAGACTACTTAATAAGGAACCAGAAGAACCATTAGATAATCAGAAGGTAATAATAAAGACAGGATAGTAAGACACATGAAATATACGCAATGTATAATGGGATAAGTACATTCCAGAGAGGATAATGAGCGATATTAATAGAAGATGGAAAAAATGACAACTGAAAATATCAGAACGAAGCACGAAAATTGACGAGTCATTTGCATTACCAACACAGCCACTCCTACCAGATTTCAATCTTATAGATTAACGCAGTCCAAGGAAATAAGCTTGACCTTCTAACCTCTACTTGATGTTACCAACTAACGGAGCGAATGCCGCTTCAGCCTTCAGTGATTCCACCTCATGGAAAAGAAGTACCAGTCAAATGATGCTGCTATCGTATAATGGGCAGCTCTTCACGGTTCTCTACAGAGAGGAATGCAGCCTCCTTTTACTGGTATGCCACTACTCGTGTGACTTGAATTATTCGTTACTTTACTTACTGCCATGAAGTCAGTTTTGGTTTTACTGTTGAGGAGTATACGAACTTTCGAATTAGGTAGCCATACGACGAACAATCACACCTACTAAAACGTTGGTGGTCCCTCCTCGAATATTTCTTCAAAAGGGGTGATAGACAACGTCTTGAACTTGTAAGATGGGCCTAGTTTGAGCTTTGCATAACTGTATGAGTGACGAAGATGCAGGCACCATGTCTACCTTTGCAATGTTTTGGAGACCTATAACAGTCCTAGCTGCGTCTCATGTATAGTTTCAACCTGTATTTAGTTTTCTAATTGGAAATACACCACAGTCTCGTCCCGTCATTGTCTAGGAATGGCTAGTTCCACATACAGAGTGGAGTTACCTCCATGCAACTGGCGTGTGAAGAAATATGACCCAAAATTTATTTGATTCAAACGTCAGTCCACTTGCCGTTGCTGGGGCTTGGTCTGGAAACCTGATTTGTTTGGTGGAACATTGATGAATATCAGGAGTAATAACGTCGCACTCGTCACCTCTTGTCATAATCCTGAAGTTGACTTTCCTCACACAGTTCACTTACTGTCTACTTTTATGCAAAATTCCCTTACCTGAAGATAAGCTCTCATCTGAGGAGTTACGGAGTTACCCATCACTTCTCCAAGGGTTTTTGAGAGACAGTTTGGATTTGTTAATAAAGTAAAGCCTTGGTTAGATCTAAAAGCTGTAAGAGCACCTTAATGTTGGAGTGATATATGCTGGCCCTTAGTTCCATATTGTCATCAAGTTCAAAGTACATGACCTTCTAAATTCGTGTTGATTCCCATCTAATTGCTGTTTTTTGAGTCACTAATGAATACGATTGTCTATTTGGCTTCTAATCGCGTTTGAGAATGGTCACAGAAGCGCAGCAGGATCGTGGAAACATAGGCTGGAAATATAAACCCTTAAATGAGGGACAGAATTAAACATACAATCCATCGACAGCTGCTGCCTGCCCGATAGGTGCTGGTAAGGATTAGCTAGTAGCTTAGGGCCTAAGGCACTGCACGAGACCCTATGGTCTTATATGTTTGGCGCCGTAACCCTTCTAA